ATATATAGCATGAAAATGGTACAATATGTTCTCTATTGATTGTGAACTCAGGCCCTTCTCCAGCCAACAGACTAACTGTTTCTCTTCACTTGTGGGCTTTCACCTGAATTACCAAAGAGGCCATGACATTTTTGAAATCTGCATTTCATCTCTTCCGGGAAACATACCATACAGTGTCCGTGCTATTATCCTACAATGAATCTAGCTATTACAACCTCCCACAAGGTCTTTGAGAACTACGTTTCTAGTTTCCTCAGTCAAATTCTTGTTTGCAAAGTCTTGCTTCCCTCCACATTGAGCCAGATCAGCTCATCGAGTGCCAGTGACGTAAATTGCCCATTGCAGCTCCTTTCCAAGTTCTTTTTGACCCCTGCGTAAGTTTGTGCTTCTCCTGCTGGAAAGGATGGGGCAACCGTGGGCACCATGAGTCGTGCCATGCCGCAGGGGGCCCAGCCACCCTCAGTAGGCAGCTGTTCTTTACTCTCTCCCTTGGCAGGAATGCGAATCTATTCACCTGCTGCTCTTCTATCTGCCCCTTGGGTAGGGGAGAGGTTGTTCAGTACAGAACCAGGAATCCCTTGCAAAACCATGTTTTAAAAGACTGGAGAGAGTAAAGGGAAAAACATGGGGTTTCTAATAAGCAGTTACAATATTCATAGTTGCCGCAGTGTTTTTCTTTTTTGTAATGTTCTCAGACTGGAAGTTGGTCTCCAGTGGCATTTTCAAGATTTTTATCCAGAAGCGCGTTCTACTTTGTGAAGGATATTTAATTTTTCAGCCAACAGTATTCATTCTCACAGGTTCCTGTGTATAAAAGCTCACAATATGAATGTATTGGGCATTACTAAGATTGAATTGCGCAGGTAATGCATTATCAGACAGGCCTGGTGAAGCATCCTGGAAATATTAACAGTATTTACCTTGGTACTGTTTGCTTTTTCAAAAGTCCAGTGTCTCCTTCAGTACAATCAGTACTTGGATAACAAGGATTGGAATTCAGGATCATATCCAGAATTTCTCTTTCTTCTCCTCCCCCCCCCTTTTCTATTTTGCCATAATTGCCAATTTAATTGTGAAGGCACTATATTTCAGCATCTCAAGGAGCCTGAGAGGAGGAACAAGGAAAAAAATTTTTTTTCCTAACACAAATGTGTTAGATGACCATCTTGTGGGCTTGGAAAAGGATGAATTGTAGGTCAATATAGCCAGGAGCATCAGGTCAGGAAGGCTAGGTTAAGTGTGCTGGATTCATGTCACTATAGGCTAAATGTATTTTTAGAAGATACTCCCTGTAGTATTGAATAGGCTTGAGAGGTCCTTGGAGCACTGCACAGAAAACATCATAGATGTGGCGTCTAGGAAACATCTGCCTTCAAGAGTCTCGTGGCAGCACCCGCAGTGATATGTGAACACTTGTCTTGTAGTTCAGGTTACTTCATGCTAACAATAAAATCTGCGTGCTTGATAAAAGAAATCCTGTGGAATGTGGCAAATAAATTATTCCGCCAGGTTAAAGATGATCCTCTCTGGATGTGCAGATAGAAAATGATGTTTTGTTTTGTTTTAAAAAGAAGCTTTTCAAGTAATTCATTCAATGGCTTTTGCCATTTGACTTGCCCTTTGCCTTCCTATTCCCTTCCCCAAACTCCTGACCTGGCCATTTAAGTGTGAGAGTGCATGTGTGTGTATTTTCATTCTGCTCTACACTTTGATTCTGAAGTAACTGCTGAGTCTTGCATTCGGTCACCTGCTTCCGTAGTCAAAGGCGAAGAGAGAGAGGTCAGCCCTGCTGCTGGAGGAGCAAACTGGGGTTTGAAAGGTGGCGCAGCCCTGGGCTCCTTCGCGGCTGTTTGTTCCGTCTCCACAGCAGCTGGTAGAGGTGGCTGTTGATACTCCCCTTGGACCGTAAGGTGGAGCTGATGAAGGAGAGGGATGTGGAAGAAGAGCACAGGATCGTAATTCTCCTTCCCAAATCTTCAGATGTACCCTCCAGCCCCCAAAAGGGTACCGCTCCTGGCCCAGCCAGTGCTGGAGGGAAAATTGTTTGGCACCCAGATATGATTCTTGACTTCCATCAGGAAAGAATGACAAAATGTAATAAATAACTTTAACAATTAGAGTCCT